GGAGAATTTTAGCTTTGAGTAAAGATTGAATAGGCTAGGATTGTTTTCTTTGAGATAGCGGAGTTAGGTGGGAGATTTAATTGAAATGCATAAGATTACGATGGGCTTAAATAGAGTGGAAATCTCTTCCCAAAGAATGGTGGTTGTCAGAATTTACTGTCCATTAGGGCAATAAAGGTATAATTCCTCAACATTTTAAAAATACTTGGATAATTATTTGAAATTGTATAACCCCTACCAGGCTATCGACCCAAAACCTAGAAAGTGGGATTAAGCTGAATAGCTCTTTTTCAGTTAGCATGGACACAGTGAGTTAAATGGCATCCTTTAAGCAATAAAGTTTTATTTTTCTGGTTGGTGAATTGTTTACCTTCTCATTATTTAACCTCAATTTCAAATATTTGACCTATTACAAAAAAGGCTCTGTACCTGTCCTGTAATTTTACATTATACTGTTTTGACTAGTATCCATAGGTACCAGGAGATGGCGCTTTCAATTCACATCATGACAGTTATCATTTACTTCACACAGCTCAAGAACAGGTATCTTGTGATCAAAAAATAAATGAATGGACGTATTGCAACTACACAGTTGCATGGGAAGGCGTCTAGAAAAAGAGCATTTCGAAATGAGAATAATGGAAGAGGGGACGAGGGTGTTACAGAAGGAGAGGGGGAAAATATGTTTGGTCATGATCATGGTAGTAGGAATGACAGAGATACTCTGTGAAACGTGAGGATAAGGTGGATATTGATGCTGTTAAGTGAAGAGACCGTACTAGGTAAGAGTCCTAGGAAATGGATGGAAATGTCAAGGGTCCTGCCTAAAGAAAAGGATATTTTGGGAGCTGTAGTGTGTTAAACAAACTTGTCCGAACAATTGTGAACAAATCAGGACACAAACTGGGAGAAAGGCATGGAAACCTTTCAGGAATTTATTTGGGGAAATAAGCATAATCCAAGTTGTTGTAGAAGTTGATTTTATTCAAATAGATGTACGTATAAAGACCTGTGGCAGGAGAGAATGTGTCCAAAGGGGAAATGTCATAAGTAGAACATGCAAATGTGAGGAATGAGTGGAAATTAAAATCCACATTATTCACAAACCCCTATTTTTGCAGTGTTCTAGTGCTTACATGTAATGTAAGGTTTTAGTGTTAAAGTATGAATTCCTCCTCTAAGTGTGCAGTGGAATTAGACAGAGCAACTTATGTTTAAAGTTAGATTTTGTTAAAAGGAATATTTAGGTTCATAAGGATGAAAGCAAAGTGATAATATTCAGTAGGCCCAGGATAATGCTCTTGGCTCGTGGGCAGAAACCACATCATAGCAGCTGGTTTAATTTACATTCAATTAATTAATAGACCTGGAAGTAAAGACTAAGATAAGTAATGAAACTATTGGCTTGTTATTTAAAGCCTAGCGGGTTCAATAAAGACCTTTTAGGGAAGGAAATTTACTGACCCTGCATTTGTCCAAATCTCCACAGTATAATTGGCTCTTAACTGCCCTCAGAAATGGTCGAGCAAGTTACTAAGCTGTACCAAATAATTTTAGACATGTTGAAAAGGAATCAAACTGGAGGGACTACCCATTATCCCCCAAATACTGCAAATGACAACAACTCACCTTGCCGGTAAGTCATGTCCTCCTTACCAATAGCCAAGAATCTGTACAAAAATTGGGAGAGCAGTCTCACAGACTAGTAAGCAACAGCCTGGCATGGAAACAGAAACATAGAAATTGGGAGCAGGAAAAGGCTATTTGGCCCTATGAGCCTGCTCTGTCATTCAATATGATCATGTCTGATCATCAAACTTACTCCTCAGTGAGTATGATATACCTTGCAGCAAATGGCTGAGATGGCTCAATTCTGAAGAAGGGTCCAGGCCCGAAACATCAGCCTTCCTGCTCCTCTGATGCTGCTTGGCCTGCTGTGTTCATCCAGCTCTACACCTTGTTATCTCTATGTTCTGTCCCACTGGTAGGACAGATGCACAAAGCTAACTTCCGAGTGATATACAGTTGGCAGGGAGAATGTTGCAACAGAATTTTCAACATTGACTCAGGACCCCATGGATTGCCAAGGTATCAGATCATACATGAGCAAGGAATCATGCAATTCTACTCCACATTGAGCATTCCTTAGAAGAAGTAACGAGGAAAACAAGGACATAACATACTTTGGGTGTGGGACAAGAGTGACTCAGTAGCACCACTATTGACTGAGCTGGATAAGTCGCGATCACCTATCTACTATCTACAGCAGTCGATGAGGGAAAAGCCTACTTGACCTCGCCCTCACCAATCTACCTGTCATAGGTACCCCTGTTACTTACAGTATTGTTAACAGTCCTTATGTAGACCAGTCCCATCCTCACATTGAGCATACTGTCTGTCATGTTGTGAGATACTACTTGATGCTAAAAGGATAAATTCTGAACAGCTCAAAACTGGGTATCAATGAGTCGTCAACACTAGCAGAATTGTACTCAACCACAGTCTGTAACCTCAGAACCGGGCATATACCTCACACTGTAGATCGGTTAGCTCAGTTGACTTAATAGCTGATTTGCAATGGAGAATGATGCCAACAGTATGGGTTCAATTCCCACCCTGGCTGAAGTTACCATAAAGGATTCTCCTTTTCAACCTCTCCCCTCACCTAAGGTGTGGTGATCCTCAGGTTAAACCACCATCAGCCATCTATTTTGGTCCTTACTCACATACCAGGTACACCAACATATAGACTAGCCAAAGAACTACGGCAGAAACTGAAATACTTAGTTGACAACACTACCCACTCCATCCACTCCTCCCGAGAATTCCTCAACATCATCAAGGACACCAGAATGGAAGAGGATGATATAATGATATCCTTCAATGTAATGGCACTATTTACATCCATAAACATTGACCTAACCAAAGAGACAATTATCTCACTGCTGGATGAATCAGGAAGCTAGACATCCCACGACACCAACAGCATCAAGGACAGCACCCTGAAACTGCTGGATCTGTGTCTCACAACTCACCACCTTCAACGACCGTATATTCAAACAAATAAACAGAACACCAGTGGGATCCCCAATAACAGGACTGATTGCGGAAGCAGTAATGCAAAGGTTAGAAGGGACAGCGCTCCCCACTATACAACCCAAATTCTGTGTCTGCTATGTATATGACACCTAAGGGATTATCAAATGCACAAAACTAAAAGAAACCCGCTGCCACATAACATCTTCACTGGAGTGAAATTCACAAAAGAAGAGAACAATAACTGACTACCCTTCCTAGACATAATGGTAGATCGTAGGAACAACGGCGAACTCCAGACTAGCGTATACAGAAAGACCTCACATACGGACCAGGTACTTAATTACACCAGCAACCAACCCGACATGCATAAACAGAGCTGCATCAGGACACTATTTAAACAAGCCACAACACATTGCAGTAACCCGGAAGTACTTAAAGCAGAACAGGAACACTTATACAAAGTCTTCAGAAGAAATGGATACCCGAAAAGCACAATCCGCTGTTACCTCCGAGGCAGACCACAACAGGAAGACACAACACGACTAGAATCACTTATCACCCTACCATACATCAAGGTCATTTCAGAGATGACCACGACTACTCAGACCCCTAGGTATCACAGTAGTCCACAAACCGACCCACCCTACGACAGCTATTGATGAACGTAAAGGATCCCATACTCAAAACCAGCAAAACTGGTGTAATATACAAAATACCATACAAGGACTCTGAGAAGCATTACATAGGCCAAACTGGAAGAAAATTGTCAATAAGAATACATGAACACCAACTGGCCACTAAGGGACACGGCCAATTCTCACTGCTTTCAATACACACGGACAAAGAAGGACACAAATGCTACTGGGAAAACACATCCATAATAGCACAAGCCAAACAGAGACATGCCAGGGAATTCCTGGAGGCCTAGCATTCCAACCAGAACTCCACCAACAAACATTGAATTGGACCCGATATACGAACCACTGAAAAACAAAACTGAAGTAATGCCAACCACCCCAGCAAACCGAGGCATATAAATAACAAGTGGGACAGAACACCATTGCTTCACCAGAGGTGCACTGACGATGTTACTTAGCAGGGTGATGAAACATCTGCAGTCAAACACACTGGCTCGGTGAGCAGGTCTACACCCTCCTCCACAACTCAAGCTACAAATCTTCTCAAAAACTTTAAATTTTAGCAGATAGTTAATGTAGTAAAGTGTGAGGTCATCTCTTTAGACTAAAGAAAGATAGATCAGCGTACTTTCTAAATACCACAATACTTGTAACTTTGGATGAGCAGAGATGTTCATGAGTCAAAGTCCTAGAAATTACTCTAAAGTAGCGGCAGGTACAAAAATTAATCATGAGACTATTGGAATTTTGATCCTTATCTCAAGAGGACAGTTAGTCAAAGGGGTGGAAGTTAGCTCTGCCTAGACCACATCTGGAAATAGCCTTCAGTTTTTCTTTCAAGTGCATATTGGCCTTGGAGGGCTGCAATGCATATTAGAGTTGGATTTGAGACCCAGATCAACCATGGTCTAAATGAATACAGGAGCGGCCTCAAGGGGCTGAATATCTATTCATGATCGTATGACCGTTGAATTTAATTTTCTCATCTAATTTCTTCCTAGCTTTCCGATAGATGCTGATTCCCATCAGGAGTTTCATGGCTGGTAATTTGTCCAGTTGGCTGTTTTCTGAGAGTCTTAGCAGACTGTTAGGTTGAGATCACAGTGCTGTCCTCAGAAAATACTTTAAGAATAAGTTGATTATTTTAGGCCAGGGTTTGACCAAGGAAATATGATATTAATGTAGAATTACTGTATCACTCCTTTTTACACTGGTTTGTACTTTGATTGTGTGAAGTTATAGCGTTTTTTCTTAAATGCTATTAATGAATTTTTAATATATAGTTGATTTTTAACATCTGATTTTTATGCATACTCTTTTCAGCCCCATTAGCCCTTCTGCTTTGTCAGAGCTGCTTAACCTCTTAGAAAAAGGATTTATATCTTCATCTGCAGCAAAGCAAGTGAGTAAACAGCAACTGCTGAAAAGTCTTCATTTGTGCATGATTGATTACTTCATGAAAAACAGAGGTATCTAATACCATTTGGGAATCAAATAATACCTATTCTTAATTCTTTCTTTCAACATTAAAGCATTTGCATTGGTTTTCTGATGGGATTCTTCAATAGTTTCAAAATCTAAAATTTTTTCTCTCAAAATTCCTTCTGTCTCCCAACCTTATCCTCAAGGTATTAACACCTTGTTGAAAATGGTTCAATGAGTGCTAGACATCTTCAAGTAGATTCACACCAGTGCATTTTTCCAGACAAATGCGAGATGATTTTTTGGATGATCTTTTGAAGATCTAATTAGAAGGGAAATTAACAGTAAATGGCAAAACTCTTAGTAGCATTAACATACAGAGGGACCTAGTCATACAGGTTCACAGTCCCCTGAAAATGGCAACATATTTGGGTAAGGTAGTCAAGAAGGCATATGGCATGTATAGAATATATAGTATAAAACATATAGAATTGGACTCCATATACAAACCCATACAGATCAAAACCGGAGATGACTGTACTCACCATAACGGACCAGACAGTATAAATTCCAAGCGGAGTAGAATAACATTGCTTCATCAGAGGCTCCACTGATGATGTCACCTAGCATGGTGATGAAATGTCTAAACAAAAACAAGTCAGCTAAGCAAGCAAGTCAACAACCTCAGACTTGGTGTTCATCAATCGTAGAATGCCAACAGTATGGAGGCAGGCCATTCAGCCCTTCGAGTCAACACTGACCCTTTGAACAGTATCCCATCCAGTCCCACCCCAACCCTGCCTTTCCCATGGCTAATCCACCTAGCCTGCATATCCCTGGACACTATGGGCAATTTAGCATGGCCAATCCATCTAATCTACACATCTTTGGACTGTGGGAGGAAAGCCATGCAAACTATGGGAGAATGTGCAAACCCCCACACAGACAGTCACCCGAGGGTGGAATCAAACCCAGGTCCCTGGCACTATGAGGCAGCAGTGCTGACCACTGAACCACCATGCTACCTTGGAATTCCAGGTTGGACTCAGCAGCAGTGAAGGAATTGCATTATAGTTCACGGTCAGGATTGTGTAAGACCTGGAGTGCAACTTGTTGGTGGTGATGTTGCCATGCATGTATCATCCTTGTCTTGGTGATAGTGAAGAGAACTTGGTGAGTTGCTATAATCCGTTTTGTGTATGGTACACATGATGCCATTAAATGTAAAGCAGAGAGATTGAAATTGAAAGTGGTGTGTAGGATGTTGAACTGTTTGATTGATTTTGGAACTGCACTCATTTAGGCAAGTGTAGAGTATTCCATCATATTCCTGACTTGTGCTCTATTGCTAGAGAGCAGGTATTGAGAGTTGAAGGTAAATTCTTCGGATAAAAATTTCCAATTTCTGGCCTACTGCTGTAGCCACAGTATTTTTAGGGCGAGTCTGCTTAAGTATCTGATCCATGGGCAGCCTTCCAGGATGTTCATGTTCAGGAATTCAGCAATGGTATTACTGTTGAATGTCAGGGGGAGATGGTCATTACTTGGCATTGTGTAGTGTGAAAATTACTTATGACATACCAGCCAAAGCTTGAATATTGTCCAGATCTTGCTACATGTGAACACAGACTATTCATTATCTGGAAGTGGTACTGAGAACAGTAAACATGCCCAATCCTGACCTTAGATGGAGAGAAGATCATTGATTAAGCAGATGGTTAGGCCTAGAACACCCCTCTGAGGAACTCCTACAGTGATGCCATCTGGACTAAGAAGATTGACCTCCAAAAACTATAACCATATTCCTTTGTATGGGGTGTGATTCAGATCAGTGGAGAGACTCCCTCACCATGATTCCTATTGACTTCACTTTTGGCTAGAGTCCTTTGATAACACACTGTCAAATACTGACTTGATGTCAAGAGCGGTCACTGTTACCTCATCTTTTGAGTTCAGCACTTTTTGTCCATGTTAGGACCAAGGCTCGAATGAGATCATATGCTGAGTGCCCCTGGAGGAACCTAAACTGAATGTCACTGGGCAGGTTATTGCTAAGTAAATGTCACTTGATGACACTATTAATGACATTTGCAATCACTTTGTTCGTGATCAGGAATAGACTAATGGGGTAGAATGGATTTATCATATGTTTGTCTTTTGAATAATATGTTTGAATTATAGTTCATATTGTTGGTTAGATGCTAGTGTCATAGCTGTATTGAAACAGCTCAGCTGGGGCCTTGGCAAATTCTGCAGCACAATTCTTCGGCACTGTTAGAATGTTGTCAGGGGTCGTAGTACGTGCTATGACTAATGTCTTCATCCTTTTCTTTCCATCACACGGAGTGTATTGAGTTGGCTAAAAATTTGTGACAGTTGGACATCAGTAGACAACCAAAAGGGATCATTAGCTTGGCACGGCTGAAGATTGTTGTGAAGGCTTTAGCCTTGACTCTTGCACTAATGTACTGGCTCCTGAAGTTGTGGGCTGCTTCTTCCAGTTATCTAGCTCTCAGCTATATTCTTGACTGATGTGACAGACTGCAGAGCTTTAATCAGATCTATTTATTGTAGGATTGCTCCATTTTGTTAAGTGCATGCTACTTATGCTGTTTAGTGTGTCTGTGGTCCTGAGTTGTTGTTTCACCAGGTTGCTACTTCACATACCTTTCTGCTCTCCTTATTGAATCAGAGTTGAATCTATGGCTTGATGGTAATGGTAGAGTGAAGGATAAGCCAGGCCATGAAGTTACAAATAAGTGGTGGAATATTGTTGGTGGCTGTCTTAAGCTGCCAGCTCTGTTCTGAATCTGTTCTTTTTGTAAGATGGTAGTGCCACAGAATGGCCAGTATCCTCACTGTGAAGTTGGAACACTTTTCTCCACAAGGACTGTGCTTTGGTTGCTCCTCGTATTAGTGTAATGGACAGACACATCTACAGCATGTAAGAGTTTTTTGTCTTATTTATTTCCTCATCACGTGCTGCATGCCCAATCTGGTAGCAATGTCCTTCAAGACTCAGCCAGATCAGTCAGTAGTGATGTTATTGAAGTTCCCCTCCCATAACACAATCTGTGCCCTTGCGACCCTTTCTGCTTCTACCAAGAGATGTTCAATGTGGAAAAGCACTAATTAATTAGCTAAGGTTGGTGATAATTAGCTGGAAGTTTCCTTGTGCATATTTAACCTGATACCATAAAGCTTCATAGGATTTGGAATCAACACTGATGACTCCCAGGACCACCACTCCTTATTGTGTACCAGTGAGAACATACTAAAGAATACTAATGGATGGGCCTGGGACTTTTAACTAAGATATAATTTAGTGAGTATGACTGTCAGGCTGTTGATTGACTAGGCTGTGGGACAGCTATCCCAATTTTGACATGTCTCAGAACTGAGATGGGAGGGTTTTGCAGACTGTGCTGTTGTTATTTCCAGTGCCTGTGTTAATACAGTGCATGCTATCTAGTTTTGTTCTGATAATACTTTTTGTAATGTTTTGATACAATTAGGCCCCTATAGGGGGAAGGTAAGAGTCAGTCACATTGCTAGGGGCTTGGAGTCACAGTTTGGCCAGACCAGGTAAGGATGGTGAATTTCCATTCTTAAAGTATTGCCAGTATTAACAGTTCTGAGGAAGGGTCACGGGACCTGAAACATAACTCTGTTTTCTTTCTGCACAGATGCTGTCAGACCTGCTGAGCTTTTCCAGCAACTTCTGTTTTTGTTCCAGAATAGTGGCCTGAAATTCTGGATTACTAATCTACTGACATCACAATACACCACTGTCTGCTAATGTTATAGACTAGTGTACCTAGCTTTGTTCTTTCGATTGCTGTTACTTCATCTGGTATGAACTAACAGCCCAACTGGACAGTTGAATTGAATATCAGTTTGTTCTGTAATCTGGAAAGCCTGATACACACCATTCAATAACATTAATTAATATATTCTGTATCAACATTCTGCATAATACTGAGGAATTTGAATAAAATTTGAATACCAAAATCATGAGCCCACAACTATAGAATTTACTGAATCACATGATTGGCTAATTGTGTAAGTTATGCATTTGCAGTGCTTTTTTTTCATAGGTAATTTGAGTAGTAATGTAAGTTATTCCTGGTTTTGTATTGGGCTTGTAGGTATTTGCTGAACTATGGAAAGGAGAAGGGAAATCTGCAGTCCAGATAGTTGAACAGAAGGAACTGGGGCTGATTCAAGACCACAGGAAACTAGAACAGATCTGTCAGTGTGTTATCGAAGGTCATCCTGCAGAGGTAAGCTGTTTCAACATACTGTCTTTTAAGAAGTTTACTTGAGTGGCAGATTAGGGGAAATAATTATGTGGCAAAAAATTGCTGTAAGATGAAATTTTTTTTTCTCATAAATGTTATGTTAATTTCTCTGCTATTCAGCTGCTTAAATAATGTATTTTTGTAAGTAGAGTAGATGGTAATGGAATATTGAAAAGAGATTTTTAACAGTCAATAAAATACAATCTTAGATTATTTAATGCCACTCTTACATTTTCTAAAAAAGTAGTAATATTTGGCTAAAAGCATATTTTGCATGTGAGATTTCTAGAAAGCAACAATTGGTCCTTTCATATTTCTCTCTCCTAACATACGTAATAAGATGTTTGAAAGAAAGTTACATACTTGCTGAGAGGCAAGGACATTAAAGTAACATGTAGAAAGGGTAGGGAACAGGAATTAAAAAGACGGGAGTTTACGCATGGCTAACAAATTACTTGTACAGGCTGGATGGGTTTAAAAATTTACTCGTTTTTTCATTTTACCAGTTCAAGTTCATTTATCTCTACATGATCTATGATTTAATTCATAGAAAAAAAGCTCTGTTCATCCAGTGCAGCTGAGACCTAAACAGAAATTGCTGGAAAAGCTCAGCAGGTCTGGCAGCGTCTATGGAGAGAAATCAGAGTTAACATTTTGGGTCCAGTGATCTTTCCTCAGAACTCACAAGAAGCAGGGTGTGAGTATATGTTGTCAAGGTAATTGTGGGAGTTGGTGGTTTTGAGGTGGATATTGGTGACCAGCCTATCCCCAGAAATGGAAACAGAGATGTCGAGGAATGGAAAGGAGGAGTCAAAGAAAGACCAGGTGGAAATTAGAAGTGAGATCAATAAACTTTACAATTCTGGATGAGACAGGGAAGCAGCACCGATAATGTCATTGATATACTAGAGAAAGCGTTGTGGGTGGCAGCCTGAATAGGACTAGAAAAAGAAATGTTCCATGTACCCTACAAAGAGACAGGCATAATTGGGACCCATGTGGGTACCCATGGCATCCTCTCTGACCTGAAGTGAGAGGAGTTAAAAGAGTTGTTGTTCAGGGTGAGGACAAGCTTGGCCAGGCAGCGGAGGCTGATGGTGGATGGGGACAGTTCATAACTTTTTTCCGGGAAGAAGCAGAGAGCCCTGACACCATCCTGCTGGGGGATGGACATGTAAAGGGACTGCACTTCCATGGTAAAGAGGAGGCAGCTGGAGCCCACAAACTGGAAATTCTGAAACTGACATAAAACATCAGAGGAATTGCTGATGTAAGTGGGCAGGGACTGGAGAAGGGGAAAATCAAGGTAGGAAGAAATTAGTTCTGTGGGGCAGGACCAGGCAGAAACAATTGGTCTGGCAGTCCTGTTTGTGGATTTTGGGAAGGAGGTAAAAGCGAGCTATACGGGGTTGGGAGACTATCAGTTTGGAGACAGTGGGGCAGAGATCACCAGATGAAATGAGATTAGTGACTGTGGTGCACACATTGGCCTGATGTTCCATGGTAGGGTCATGGTCCAGGGGAGATAGGAGGAGTGGCTCTTACTGCAGATGCTGAAATCTATACTGAAAACAAAAAGTGCTGGAGATCACAGCGAGTCAGGCAGCATCAATGGAGAGAAAGCAAGCTAATGTTTCACGTGTGGTATCTGAGAGCTGGCACTCAGCCTCTGCAATATAGAGGCCAGTATGCCAGACTATGACAGCACCGCCCTTATCAGCAGGCTTAATTACGAAGTCAGGGTTGAGTCTGAGAGCATGGAGTGCAGTCATTTCCTAGGAGGATAGGCTGAAATTAATGAGACAAGCAGAGAAATTGAGGCAGCCAATGTCACATAGACAGTTCTCAATGAACAGGTTGAGTGCAGGTAATAGGCCAAAGGGAGGGGTCTAGGTGGAGGGAGAGTGTTGGAGGTGGGCAAAGAGGCAGGCAAAGAAATGGGCACAGAGGTGAAGACGACAGAAGAAGAGTTCAACATCATGTTGTGCCTGGAATTCATTAAGGTGGGAATGCAGAAGGATAAAACTGAGACCTTTGCTGAATACAGAATGTTCAACATCGGAGAGCAGAATATCAGAAGGGATGATGATGAATACATGACTGGAAGTGGGGTTGGGGAAGGTTCCAGAGGGCCGTGGGTATGTCTGAGGTGTTGCATCTTGTGTGCCCTGATGTCTGAAAGGAAAAGAAAAAGTTTCTTGTTAGCATATCGATTGAGCTGGAAGATGAAGTGGAACTGGGGTGCAATGCAGCTTTGAGCAGTGTGATGTGGTGCTGTTGGAGAGAGAGGTCGAGAGAGTGCATATGATGACACATGACTGTGAATCTCAAGATGCGACGAGAGCAGCTGCCTGTGAAACGTTGAATATTGCAGAGATATCCAATGATCCTGGGTGGATTCAAAGCACAAAGGATGAAACTTGAGTTGGAATCCAAGTGGGGTGAGTCTGAGCTGGAGGCAGTCACTGAGGAATGTGATGTGGCTCTGCAAACAAGTTTTGGCAAATAACTTGTCAAACACCAGAAGTGACATTGAAATGAATGATGGTGGGCAAGAAAAATGATTGGAACAGAAATGCTGTTGGAGAGAGGAACAGACCATGTTCAAGGTGGACATGTCTGGAAGAGATAAGGCAGTGAATTAAATACTAAATAAAAACCAAAAGAACTGCAGATGCTGAAAACAACAGAAACAAAATCAGAAATTGCAGGAAAACCTCAGCAGATCTGTGGAGAGAAATCAGAGTTAATGTTTCGGGGGCAGTGACTAAGTTCAAAACTGAACTTAGACCTGCCTGGGACTCGATATAAAGTGAGGTAACAGTGGAAAAAGGCAACATACACAACGTTAGTACTTAGCTAGGAAGCAGCAATAACTTTCATTTATTTAGTGTCAGTAATGTAGTATTCTCTTGCTAGATATTGAGGATGAAAAGGAAGATTATCATCTGAATCCCACCAGTATCAGCCTCACATAGTCCATTGAGTCCATGTCGACCATGTTCCCAAACCAAATTAGTTCCATCTGCCAGTGCTTGGCCCATATCCCTCCAAATCTTTGCTATTCATGAACTTATCTAAATATCTTTTAAATGTTTTACCTGTATCCACCACTTTCTCTGGCAGTTCACTTCACACACGAACCACTCTTTGTATACTTAAACAAATAAAATTGTCCCTCATGTCATAGATCATGGAATTGCCAGTGTGGAAACAGGCCATTCGGCCCAACAAGTCTACCTCCAACAACTTACCCTCCACCAATGTCAGACTCTCTACTTTAGATGGCCTCTACTTTAACGATGGCAGTATTATCCATATGCGAGATGAGTTAACATGGAATTATGATATTGTTGCCATCGCAAATACATGGTTGAGGGAGGGGCAGGACTGGTGACTCAACATTCCAGGGTATAGAATCTCCAGCTGAGACAAAGAAGAGTGTAGAAGAGGAAGTGTTGGTACATTATTAAATAAGGAGTCAATTGCTGCAGTAAGGAGAGACAATATCCTGCAAGGGACTGCAAATGAGACTTTATGGGTAGAGTTGAGGAATAAAAAGGGACAGTCATATTCCTGGGAATATATTATAGGCTCCCAACAGTCAGCAGGCAATAGAAGAGCAAATATGTAGACAATTCTCAACCATGTCTTTGCGATGGCAACAATATCATAATTCCATGTGTCAAGCCACACCCTTAACTCATCTCGCATATGTATAATTCTGCCATAATTCAAGTAGAAGCCATCCAGCCGTGTCTTACTCCCTTGAAAGTCAACGTGGATGAACTCTCTCTCTGTGTCTTGGTTACTTTACTACAACTTGCTATGTCCCTATTATACTAACACCGTACACTCTCTCCCCACCCCCCACTCCTTCAACTACCTCCCCCCACTGCCGAACTAATTTGAACTCCTCCCAACAGCACTAACAAACCCACCTGCAAGGATGTTATTTTCATTCTGGTTCGGGTGCAGACCGTCCCACATATACAGGTCCCACCTTCTACAGAAACTGTCCCAGTGATCCAGGTATCTGAAATCCTCCCTTCTGCTCCAAGGCTTAGCCACTCATTTATCTGCCTATTTTCATATTTTTATACTCATTAGATGTCATTAGAAGGCTAGAACCAAGTTTCAAACTCAGAGGACATTGGCAGGGTGTAAACTAAGTACTTTACATCTGCCGTTACTCAGACGAAGGAAAAGGTAGGTACAGAATTCGGGGATTGGAGGACAACTAATTTGGTTCCACTTTTTCAAGAAAGGTGGTAGAGCTAAACCAGGGATTTACAGGCATGAGAGTTCTACATTAATGATAGTGTAACTGTTGGAGAAAATTAATCTTATGGCTTTATCAGAAGGAGGTCACGCCTGACAAATTTGATAGAATTTTTCGAGATGGTGATAAGGTGTGTAAACGATAGTAGTGCAGTTGATGTAGTTCATATGGGTTTTGGTCAGAGCCTTTGACAAGATCCCACAGGGGAGTCTGATGAAGAAGGTAAAAGTACATGGAATCCAGGGTAACTTGGAAAGTTGGATCCAAAATTAGCTGAGTTGTAGGAGACAGGTGACGATGGTAGAAGTTGGTGTGCCGCAGTGTACCATAGGGATCAGTGGTGGTCCCTTTATTGTTCATGATATATATAAATAACAAGGATGAGAACATGGGGGATATGAAAAGTAAGTTTGCGAATGACACAGATTGGCTGAGTGGTTAATAATGAGGAAGAAAGTCTAGGATTACAGGAAGATATAGACAGTTGATCAGGTGGGCATATCAGTGGCAGAAGGTATTTAACACTGAAAGGTGTGTGTCGTGAAGTGATGCACTTTGGAAGAAGTCACAAAACAAGGGAGTACTCAATGAATGACGACTCTAGGAAGCTCGGAGGAACAGGGATCTTGTTCATAGATTCTTGAAGGTGGCAGGGTTAATAGGGTAGTTAAGGTATATGAGACACTTTCCTTTATCTGTCATAGCAGCGATTATAGGAGGATATTATGATGGAGCTATACAAAACTTAGGTTAGGACACACCTGGAGTATTGTGTGCAGCTCTCATTATCTCACTGTTGGCAAAATTTAATTGCACTGGAGGGGAGCAGAGAAGCTTCACTAATATGTTGCCTAAAGCATTTTAGCGATGAAGAGAAGCTGGACAGGCTCGGGTTGTTTCTTTTAGAGCAGAGAAGTTTGGGTGGGTGGTGGTGGGAGGGTAGTGGTGTGGTGAACACGAAGGAGGTGTATTTAAGATTATGAGAGGCATGGACAGGGTGAGTAAGAAGCAGCTGTTTACCTTAGTTGAATAGCCAGTAGTGAGGGGCATAATTTTAAGGCAATGGGCAGGAGGTCTAGAGGGGTTTTGAGTAAAATTGTCCTTCAAAGGGAGGTGGGAATCTGGAGTGCACTGCACAGTTGAGGTAGAAAACCTTACACCCTTTAACTAATATGTGGATGATCACATGAAATGTCATACATTCAAGGCTATGGGCCAAGTGCTGCAAATTGGGATTGGTGTAGATAGGTTGGCACAAGCTTCTTCTTTGGCTATATGACTCTATGCATGCTGCCAGATGGCTAACTATAGTTAATGAATCAAAGATACCAATCATCTTTTTTCTGGAAAGTGCTTGACTTCCATTGAGCAATAATATGATGCAGTAAAGTTGTGATCAGAAGTTGGTTATCAAACTGCTATCTCGGCTATTGCCTAGTGTGGCTTACTGAGGTATTCAGCAGTTGCAAGGAGAATTTCATAAGTTAAGTATTGCTGGATATACTCTGGCTAAAATGTGTTTAATACCAAAATAATTTATGTTTATATCCAGTGAGTAATTCTCAGGAGAAATTGAGAGAATCTCACATGGAGACACACCATGACAGGGGTTTGTGGTAGGTGTGCAGTCTGTCTAATGACAACCAGTGCAGCTACACAGTCCAACTCTGATGCTTATCTCCTCCAGGATCCCTGCTGCTCTGGCTTGAATACAAATATCTGAATTGCCATGGCCAAAGCATGCACAGATATACAGCCTACCTTGGCAGACAGAATCCAGACAAAACATGCCCCAGAAGGCCTGACCCAGGACTTAAAAGGCAAATCACTGAACAGTCCCAGAAAGTGCACACCAAACACACCTACACCATAGATGTGAGAACTAGTACAGAAATATTGGTAGCTCATATATCCAAAATAATAATGCTTTTAGTTGATAATTGAATGACCCAACATTTGTTAGGAAGTGGTGATTAATGATGTAATTGCAATATGCCATTAACAATTAATAATGTTTAGTTCAAAATTAAAATTTAAAACAACCTGTTCATGGTGTCCACACTGGATTAAATAATGTAATCATCACATCCCTCAGGAGTTTTGATAAACGCACTATTAATTTCTTGAGCTAAACTTTTCTTTGTAACTGGAGTTAGATTGTACTTTATCCATTCTTTGACTTATTTCATAGGTTTCTGAAATACAACAAGGAAACTGGAAAGTGTTAAATAAACTTATTGGCCAGGTTCAGAGAGCAACACATGGCCGGGCTGCCCCAACCCTGGTGAAATCTATTTTGGAAAAGAAATTGTCCTGAAAGAATGGAAATCAAGACAAAGCAGAGCTGTTTTAATTCAGCGATCAAAATTGAAATTTTACAAGTGTTGTCTTAACCTGTTAGAATAACTTTGAATGATTGACAAAATCTTGAAACGCATTCGTTTATTGTCCACAGGGTTGAATGCCCCTTCATTTTTTGTTTATTCTTGTTAAAAATGTATCCTACTGGTTGCCTGCAGTACTTGCACAATTCTGCCTCAGTAAAATGAACATGATGAATTACTGACAGATTGCAAATCAACTGTATGAATTGTGAAATAATCATGTAAAGTACAACTCATACTAAATGTAATTGATTGAAACCATGATCCGACAGGATAGTCCAGTAATCTACTTAAATGTATGAACAATGGCTGTCATTTTCTGTTCTTTATTGATCAAATTTACATGCAGTGGTTTGAGATGAATGCAAACTCCTGTTCGGATGTGGGCCTGAGATTTCTATATTGAAAAAATGTATTTGCACATTAGCTGTGTTATGAAATATATTGCAGATGGTGGAACTACTGTTGTGCAGTATCATTCCATTCTAACGAAAGGTCACAGAGCTGAAATTGTGAATATTTCCAGTAATTTCTATTTATGAATGTTAATTAGTTGAGTTTGATTTGCACATTGGAACTCTCTTTAATGGATATTGAACATCAATACTACAAACCTAGACTCATGGGATTACAATTAATAGGAACTGCATCATCTTCTGGCAGTTGATTTCAGCGGAACCATACAAATGCTGTTGCCCATCAAAGATATTATTCAAGTACTCATGTTATAACAAGAGATTCTTAACTGCAACATTTTGCATGAAAAGGTAATTTAACAATAGCATTAAAAAAGTTAATTTCTAGCTTTAATGTCTATCTCAAATAAAAACCATTCAGAACCCATTTTAAGACAACTTTAATGCTTAGAATTAAAATTGCTGCAGTGGACAAAGTGAGCAACTCCCTACTAAACTTACTTAAAATAGTATCCTGCACAGAGTCACAAACTATATTTTACTGAATGTACTGACAATTTAATAAGTTAATTTACTCTGCAGAAGGAACTTATAAATACCATCAACCCTCAGATCCAGCATAGTAGTTTCACACTGTAATATTAAATTTTAGAAATCTGATTTTATAATTCCTACTGATGTTGCAAAAATAAATCAACACAACAGTAAAATCACCAAAACCATGGTTTTTTTCCCTATACAAAAACAAAGCTGCTGGAAAAGCTCAGCAGGTCTGGCAGCATCTGTAAAGGAAAAAACAGAGTTAACATTTTGGGTCCGGTGACCCTTTCTCAGAACCCGAAGGACCTGAAACGTTAACTCTTTTATCCTTCACAGATGCTGCCAGACCTGCTGAGCTTTTCCAGCAACTTTGTTTTTGTTCCTGATTTACAGCATCCACAGTTCTTTAGTTTTTCCCTATAATCTGGCATTGACTTACGTATACAAACAAACAGCTTTACATACATAAAAACAATCTTTTGAAGACCTCTCCATAAAGCAAACAATTTTACTGCTTTGCCACTTTTCTGCAATGATCTTTTTCACCCTGCTGGACACTACGCTAGACATTTGAGATTTCATAATATGATGGTACTATTTAAAAAGGTCTTTCATTAGCATTAAAGTGGCAGAAAATTTCAGTCCTCATTCATTTAATCTTTGGTACTATTCACAGCAAACCTTTACAGAATGAATATCATCAGACGTTTAAAGAATAGACTCAAATGTTCACACCTAAAATTCAACTACCACCAGAAATGCTTGTATATTTATAACATTTATATATACTCAAAAATTCAATACACTGATAGTTAATTAAATTTTTGCCCACATACATACATTGTAGCTTGCATAGTGAGACAATTTCACTCGTGAGTTTTCTATGACCATAAGGCTGCTGCGTTTAAAAAGTCAACATTTCTTAAAAATTCCGAGCATCAACAAAATGAGACAAAATTGTTCCACTCACTGTCTTACTGTAGTTAAGGCCAGATACAAATACAATATTACTTTGGAAAGGATTTAAAAGTAGACTGCATCAATTGCATTAAAACACTTCTTCAAACATGTAACAATTATTCCTCACATTCCTCTAGTGGAACGTGAGATAAAATGGAATGTTCTTGTGCAATGGCCGCAAGTTCCTTAAGAAATTCCATGAAGATGACAGCTGCATTGATAGAATTTTTCACAGGCGAGGGAAGTCGAGCCACTGGCTTACTTAAAGGCGGGTATTGTGCTTCCTGAGCACTGCCTTGATGCTTGTGTCCATTATCAGCAATACTTTGATTGTGCTTAATTTCTGCAAGATGTTTGCCAGGAAAGAAAAAAAATTACTAATAATGTATGTATTTTTCCTGTAATACAATTTATGTTTTTACTCAATCAGCACATGTTTTATTGCATTAAGGTTTTTTTCTTTAAATCCTTACTTGCTCAGCCCTCAGAGGCAGAATATGGAGAAAAAAAAGCTTTAAACATTTAAATTATATGAGCTACCTGATCTTATATCTGCACAAGGCACTTTTCTGAATTCACTGTTCAGGTCTTTTTTGTTGCCCATTGCAAAGGTCTTAATTCCACATCAAGAAATGGTTGAAATTTTTTGTAGACCTTTATATTCTCATTTTAGCTAAAAGTTTCACAGGCATCAATATCTCTTATTTAAAGAACAGCCATTTGGGCAAGTCTGAATTGTTGGTGCCCAAAGGCTATTTAAGCATTGGACAGACATTACTGAACCAGTACTGTCATCTCACAACCTCCTCATGCTGGCTTATTACTTTCTTCACTGAACCAGATGGTGGACTTAATTGGCATGTTAAGGTTTGATATTACCAACTGTTCACTTATTCACTGAACAAGGAATAAAGAAGAAGCCCACTACACAATATGGCTAAGATTTACTTCAGTCAAATTGCTTGAAACGCAGTATTTGTGGAGAGAACTAATGAGTTAATGGAAAACTGGTATTAGTGTCAAGCTGCTAAATTATCCATTCCCCTGAAGTCAATCTAACCACTACTACTAATTTTCTGCCACTCCAAAAAGTGATGTACAGATCAGAGATCATACTCAACGCCAGTAAATGATTTTGCTGATTTTTTTTAAACCAGGTAAATGGAACAGATGCACATTACACTGAAAAAAAAAAATGAACAATGAGGCAAGTGCATTTAAAATTTAAAAAAAGGATGTATTGAATGAACTAATCAGAACTCCAGTCCAGATGGATTGCACAATACAATTTTTTTTTTTTAAAAAAAGGTCTTAGGGAAGAGATAACAGGCATTACACATATTTAATCATTTGTTAACAAAATATACATAGGTAAGACTGAAAAATAGTTTATTTAATTCCTACATTTAAGGAGGGGTCAGGATAAAACCAGGGAGTAACAGAAAACCATTTTAACATCATTTGTTGGAAAAATAATAGAATTCTTAATAAAGAACAAGAGTACGCAGGAACGAGATATATGATAAAGAACAGCACGGATTTCAAAATGGATAAACCTTGCATCATTAATCTTTTGAGTTTTTTGAGGAGTAACAGAGTAGTCAATGGTCATACAGTACAGGGATGATCTCTCAAAACCAGCAACCTCAGCATCGAGGCTCTGCTGATTTGGGTGGGGTCAAGAGTCATTTGGAGTGCAGGAATTAACTGACACACGAGTGGCCAAGCTATCAGGCTAGTTAATTGTTTTTATTTGTTCATGGGATGAGAGTCAGTGGCCATTTATCACCCATCCCAACAGAGCTCATGAGAAGGTGCTGAGTCGCTTTCTTGAATCACTGAAGTCCACGTGATGTAGGCACACAGCACTGTCAGGGAAGGAGTCTAAGTTTTTGATCCAGTAACATTGAAGGAGGCAATAAACAGGGAATACCTGATTTACAAACATGCGACTAAGGAGCGCAATCCCATACAGGAGTATATTAAATCATTTTAAAGATCCGACACAAACATTTCCTCATACTTACTAGTGGCTATTTTATATTATCCCAATGAACCTTGCTGAGTTGTTGCAGGGTATCTGGTGGCATGGTGGCTCAATGATTAGCACTGCTGCCTCAGTGCCAAGGACCCAGGTTCAATTCCACCCTGGAGTGTGTGCAGACTCCATACGTTCTCCCCATGCCTGCTGGGTTTTCTCTGGGCGCTCCAGTTTCCTCCCACAGTTGATGTGCAATTTAGGTGGATTGCCCTTGCTAAATTGTCCATAGTGTCCATTGATGTAAAGGCTAGGTGAATTAGCCATGGATAATGCAGGGTCACAGGAATAGGGTGGGGAGGTGGGTCAGGGTGGGATGCTCATCTGAAGGTCAGTGTGGACTCAATGGGCTAAATGGCCTGCTTTCGCACTAGGAAAGCTATGATCTTGTAGATGGGTGTCCCTGTCTGCTGCTGCCACTATGCATCTGTTGTGGAGGGAGTAACAGATGTGGTGCCAATCAAGCAGGCTGCTTTATTCTGGATGGTGTCAAGTTTCTTGAGTGTTGTTAGAGCTGTGCTTATCCAGACAAGTAAGGAGTATTCCATTACATTTCTTCCTTGTGCCTTGTAAATAGAGAACAGGCCATTTGTTATTTCATAGAATCATAGAATCCTACAGTGTGGAAACCGGCCATTCGGCCCAGATCCACACTGATCCTCCAAAAAGCATCCCACCCAGACCGACCCCATCCATACCATCTCTGCAACCCTGTATTTCCCATGGCTAATGCACCTAACCTGCACATCCCTGAACACTATGGGTAGTTTAGCATGGCCAATCTACCCAATGTGCACATCTTTGGACCATGGCAGGGAACTGAAGCACTCAGCATAAGCCCACGCAGACATGGGGAGAATGTGCAAACTACGGACAGACAGTCACCCCGACAGTTGCCGCAGAATTCTCAGCCTCTGATTAGTCTTGACACTACTGTATTTATATGGTTGGTGCCATTCAGTTTCTGGTCATTGGTAACCCCCAAGATGTTGATAGTGAAGGATTCAGCATGGTAATGCCATTGAATTTCAAGTGGAACTTGCTGGATTCTTCCTTGAAATGGTCATTATCTGTTATTTGTGTGATGCTGCATTTCAATAGGGACTGCTTCCAAATCTGAGTCATGGCAAATGCTGTCAAACATTGTGCAATCATCAGCAAATATCCCACCTCTGAACTTATGATGGAAGGAAGGTCAACAACGAAGCAAGTGAAAATGGTTGGTCCTAGGCTTCTCCCCTAAGGAACTCCTCCAACGGCCATTTGTGACCGAGACGACTGACCTCTAATGATCACAGCCAGCTTCCTTTGTGTTAGGAATGACTCCAACCAGTGGAACGTTTTCCTCTATTCCCACTAACTTCAGTTTTCCTAGGGATCCTTGTCATTATAATCAGTCAAATGCTTCTCGGTCAAGGTCAGTCACCCTCACTTCCCTTCTTGAGGTCAACTCTTTTGTCTGTCTTTGGACCAAGCCTCTAATGAGGTCAGGAGCTGAGGGCTCTTAGTGTAACCTAAACTAAACATCAATGAGGAGGGCACTGTTTAGTAAGTGTCCCTTCATAACATTGTCAAAGACACCTTCCATCACAATGCTAATTATTGAGAGTAGACTGATGGAGCTTCAATTAATTGGGTTGGATTTGTCATAAGTTTTAAGAATAGAACATATCTGGGTAACTTTCTACATTGCTGAGTAGATACCAGTGTTGTAACTGACTAGAATGATTTGGCCTAGGGTGCAGCAAAGTCTAGATCTTAAAACTTCAATCCTATTGCTAGAAGGTTGTCAGTTCCCATACATTTTGCGATATCCAATGCCTTCAACCATTGCTTGATATCAGAGCGAGTTGAATCGGCTGATGACTGGCACTCGTGTTGCTGAGGCCTTGGCTGAAGATGCTCGAGCCTTGGTTTTTGTATACATGTGCTGGCTCACCAATCATTGACAATGCAGATACTTGTGGAGTCTCCTCCTCCAGTGAGTTGTTTATTCATTCACTTCATCCACTAGATCTATCTGTTGGTTGTGAAATCACTTAGCTTGATCACTTACTGCTCACGCTCCTCAGTGTGCAAATAGGCCTGTGTTTAGCTTGTAGTTGACGCATCTTTTAAGTATGTCTGCTCTTGCATTCTTCAGTGGAGTGGGGGATATGCCAGGTCACATGTTACAGATTCTGTCTGAGCACAATTCTGCCGCTGCTGATGGTCCACAGCACATCATGAATTCCCAGGTTCAGTAACTAGATCTTTTCAAAATCTGTCCCATTTAATGTGGCGGTGGTGCTACAAATGTAATGGAGGGTATCCTCAATGTGAAGGCAGGACTTTGTCTCCATGAGAACTGTGAGGTGGTTACTCCTACCAATAATATCAGGGCAAGTTGCACTTTCTACAGGTAGAATTGGTCAAGTATGTTTGCTCTTATTTTGGTTGCCTCTCCACTTCCTGCAGGCCCAACTTAGCAACCATGTCCTTTAGGATTTGGCCAGTTTAGTTAGTAGTGGTGCTGCCACGTCCCTCTTGATGACAGACATTAAAGTTCCAGTGCCTAGCTAAATGACAAGTGGTTGTCTGTTTTTGTTCCTTTTATCAGACTCCACACTGGTTTGATACAATAATTGGGCCATTTTAGAAGGCATTTGAGAGTAAAACATATTGTAATCGAGTTTTCTTTAAATAGAACGTACAGACATTCTAAAATATCTTGGTTATAGACAACTCTCGATTTTAGACAGCTGGTTTTCACGAAGTAGACCTGGATTAGCTGTATCTAGATTTTCAAAAAGCCTTTTACTAAGATGCCCCATAATAGGCTAATGAATAAGGTTACAGAACATTATAGTCAGAGGACAATTTGCAGAATGGACTACTACCTGGCTTCAAGACAAAACAGAAAGGAGGAGTAAAGGGGTGTTATTCAGAGTAGCAGAAGGTGGGAGGGAGGAGTATTCACAATTTACAGTGATTATTTCAACTTTGGAATTAAACATTTAATACCTACATTTGTGGATAATCTCAATTTGGGGTGCATGGTTGAAAAAATAGATAATACTTGGAGATCAGCAACTTACAAGAGGACCAATAATTAGCAAATGAAGTTCAACATGGATAAATATGATGTGATACACTTTGATAAGAAGAATGGAAAATATGCAAGCCTAGATGGGTAGAGGAACAAAAAATAATATTGGGAGTACAAACACACCAATCAACAGTAGCATCCAGGTTAGCACGGCCTTTAAAAAAGGCAAACAAAGCACCAGTTTTTATTTCTCTGGAAAGGGAATTGAAAAGTGGGGAGGTTAAGCTAAATCTATATTGAACCTTGGTTATTACATGCAGCTATGGTCACTATATTATAAGGATATAGAAGCACAACAGA